GACGCCGCGCGAGACATAGCAGCCGGCCACCAGGTGGCCATCGCCATGTCCGACGCCGATGCCAAGGAATGGGGCCGGCGCTTCGACATTGCCCTTGTCAAGGGGGCCAGGGCCGCGGAGGGGTGTGATTCTGCGGTGAAGAAAGTATTCACAGTCGCGTACTACGAGAGCGAGTTCCAGCCCCAACCCCCCTACAACTTGGGGACCCTCCGTTTTGACGCCGCGGACGATGCCCAGCTCAATGGGCGCTGGGTGGAAGGGCGGCAAATGCAGGGGGAGGTGTCCTCCGACAACGTTATTTGCGATGTTTGGTTGGAGGCCAATGGGGTTGGGAGGGGGTGCATCCACCCCCAGTACAAACGGCGTCTCCAGGCGGAGCTGGAGCGTTGGGATGAAATGTGCTAGACAGGGGAGGGGCCACTTCTATAACTAGCGGCTTGTGATTTCCATAGTGTGCATCGCCAGTTGTAATTGTTAGTGCGAAGCCATGCTGCACCCACAGCCTGTGGGTCGCATGCATTGATTGTGGTTGGCTGCAGGCGTCCCAGACCGGCTTCATACCCATTCTTTTTGTGCGCAACATTGTGGTTTTCCCACGCGTGTGGGCCCCGAAAAATGGCACGTTTGTGTGCATCCCTATTGATATGGCCTTTTTCTTGCATTTTGCTAGTGCGCAAAATGCACGTTTTGTTGTTTTTTATGGCCCCCTTACCGACATTTTGCACGAAAGCTTGTTCCTTGCATTAAAAAAATAGCTACGTTTTCGTCGCAAGGACAAAAGGTGCAACAGCTTTGACATGCTGCTTGTGTCGAATACCAGCGCACCATTGTTCTGGCATGCTGCATTTTCGTTTATGCAAAATTTGACATTTCTAAAATACTGTGTAGGTAGGGGAGTGGAGCATAGACCGAAAGCCCGCGCAAACGCACAAGTAGGGATGTTTCGGTAGAATGCAAAAAATGACTTGCTTTCAGTTGCTGCCCGATGGGATCTTCTTCCCATCCAATTCCCGCGCTGGCCATGACACCTGCAAATTTTCACCCCTGCTGTCTATCTCCATCCGTTGCGAAACTTTTCGTCAACCAAGGAAAGCTGTTGCATTTTGTTTAACGAGGGCATCACTGTCATTGTAGATTGCCCAAAGTTGGCTACTTGGAACAAAGGACTGAGCCGCAGTGCTTCATTGTTCACATAATCCGAAAATCAAGCTCACTATGTAAGGGGTGGGCTCCAAGGAAGAAACGAGGTAGGCGGTGATCGCTGAGCCTTCTTTGAGTTGAGGAGAGACTGGACATAGATCAATCGAATGCCCCCATCCTACCAGCTATTAAACACAGCATTGGATCTCCCCGAAAGTATTCTGGGAGATACGCGTGTCTAGGCCCGCGTTCACACGCAGTCTCTGGATTAATGGATCCAAACCTGCCAAGGGGATAGGTGACCGCAGCAGAATATGCCTCCGGTTGCCCTCACAACGCCGGACAAATCGGCAGAGCCCTCGCACATATCTCCGATCACAACTCGTTGACTGCGCTGACCCGATGATCAAAATAACGATCATACGACACACGATCCTATGTTCCCCTTTTCCCTTCTGTGATAGCCTGCATATCATGAGCTGCGAATTGCTATGTCGTAGCTCAAGGGCGAGCTCCTTGGCGGGGACGTCATTTGGGCCTTGTGGTAGTTCGCTCTTGACAGTCAGTAACGGAGAGATGAGTATGCTAATATCCGTTTCTGAATTTCAAGAGCAAACCACTGCCCGACACTGCCAAATTCGAGCATAACAAAAAGGTGCTGCATCAAACTGATTCGCGCATGTCCGAAACGCGAGCCCGTCATTCAAAATTTCGTTCCTTGGTCTCAAACTGTTGCCCAGCGTCACCCGTGGGAGGTGTTCCATGCCATCAATGCCTGCGTCCTTGCCAAGCTAATTTGTGGACATCAAAAGTGCCACCCTGGCATGGGAAGTTGACATGGACTGGATTCAAAGGGCAATAGTCAGATATGGCATTGCAAAAGCCTGGGCACTTGGTACATGTAGATGCAAATATTACGGAGATACCGTATAGCAGGGACGATGAAAAATATTGGGATGACTAGAGGATTGAGTAAAGGGACGCTTGAAGAGATGGCAGGGATGGCGGCAGCCCTAGGAGGTATCATTGGAGACACTTTGGCCGACACGTTGGAGGTTTGCGTGGCGAAGCAAATTGTGGAAGAATCATCCCTGTTTGGACATTTTGACAGCTTTGATTCCTAGTGATATCACTATCAATAGTGGTTCCTGCAAACAACATCAACCCCAGCGACTCCAGTTTGTCGCTAACCTTGCCAAAGTCGACAAAGTGGGGCGCCTGAGGCACTGGACCTCAAAGGGAAGACAGAGTGATTGATTGGAATTTCTGGATTACATGAGCACACTGACAGCAATAGCATGCATTTGTGCTTTCATCTCGCAGATCGGCCGTGTTTGGCATATTGCACCTTCTGGAAATCTCCACACCGCGCAGCGGGGGGAAAGAGAGAGGCGCTCAGCCTGCCGTGTCGCTCTCGCCCAGGCTTGGTTTTTACGTTTACGTTTACGTTTTTACTTTTACGTTTTTACGCGTAAAAACATAAATTTGGAAAAGGGCCTATTTTGCCGGCTATTTTTACGTTTTTACGGGTCCTTACGACACCTAGGTTACACGATGAAAGTTACGTACGATGATCAGTGCTCCGCCATCTCCAGCACCCGCAGCACAATGTCTACATCGCCCTTGGCAAGGGCGATGATGGGGCTCAACAAAAACTCGTTTTCTGCCGCTTCCAGGGCGTCTGGCTGCCATTCTCCGGACTCCGCAAGTCTGCGTGTACCGTCCTTATGTGCACCAGGCAGTTTTTACGTTGTATTTACGTACTTTTACTCATTTTTACGCGTAAAAACGTAAAAACTGTTTTTGCGCGTAAAAACGTAAATACGATCAGTTTTTACGGCGTAAAAACCAAGCCTGCTTTCGCCAGCCACGCAATTGCTCTGCGGCACTTCGTGTCGAGCTCTCACCACCGCATTCTCACATTCTGATGCGTGATCCAAAGAGTAGCGGAAAGATAGGGGACAGAGCAGAATTGGCGATGGTTGAAGAAAATCCGAGGTTCCACTGAACAGGCATGCGTCGACGAGACGCGCTCGTGCACGAGACACAGCTTCTCCGCCGATTTGGTTCGGCGTGAAGCCACACCACCCCAGGCGGCGGACAGCGACTTCGAGAACAAGGATGCAACTGGATGGCTATGTGTGTTCCTGGGCAAGTTGGTTGGCTGCATTTGGGCGGTTGTACGCCACGCTGCATGCAACTTCATCCCGTACTTGTCGGCAATTTGCCATGGGTGCACGCGAGGGCGCTTTACGAGCAGCTTGCCCCGACCACTTGGAGCAAAAATGACAGCGAGCAGCTACAAAATTCTGGTGCCGGGAACTTGGAATTCAAATGCAAAACAAATCAGAAGCTGATTTTGGTGGTGTTTGTGCCGCATGAAGACGTTTCCTATGGCGGCAATAAAATTTTAGTCCATCATTCAGATAGCGGAACGTGAATGGTCGTGAAGGAGGTGCACCCAATAGGCAGGGTTGCGACAAGAACGCAAAATGGCTAATCTGATTGATTTGTCTTGCCGGGACCAGCTGCAATGGTTTGGTGATGTATCCAATGTTTCTTGGTAGTTGTATAATATGTCAGAGTGAAGAACGCCTGCGTTTGTTGCCGTGACGTTCTGTATCCGCAATTTTGTGCTGAGATTTTATCTGTTCATCCTTCCAATGCTTGAAGGATTGTGGGACACGGGCGGTTTGTCGTTGACTTTTGTGCTGTGCGCGTGCAGCTGGGCGAGAGCCCGAGCCCCGTTTCCTCACCCGTTGGGAACACGTCTTTCAAGTTAAGCCGTGCAAGCAGAACAGGCAAAAGTGGCAAACTCCTGTATCGCTTTGCAAAGCGATTCCCACGTTTCGGAGACCCCTTCTTGCCTTTAGCAGCGCTTTCGCCCATCATGCCGATGGCATCGGCGCGTAACCTGCACATGGGAACGAAATGCACACAGTTGCGAGATGGTTCCATCGCCAGTTCGCTTCCGCAAATGTTCTATGGGAGCACGTCGCGGACATCGCATCGCATGAGCCTGCCAGCTCCTCTGGTGTCGACAGTTTCGATGAAAAGGGCCCCCGAGAATTGGGAAGGACGCAGGACACCTGGACCTGGATGTGCAAGATGACCGTAGAATTTTGCAATTGCAAAATGAATGGTTCTGGAATCCTCTGGACGGTAGTTATCCGTATGTTGTTGTTGTTGTTGTCGCCTGCTCAATCTTTGCACGGCGCCGCAACGCGGGGAGGGGGGGTGACACAACTATGGCCGTTCGTCCTTTCCAGCGGGCGCGCTAGGCTTCGGGGTACACGCGGCTCCCCGCCGCGTCCTTGCCACCCGTTGTAGCTAGTCAACGGTGGGTTGCCTTCTGAATGTATGGGGATTGCGCTATGCCGTATGGCGGCTCGCAGCCCAGCGGGCGCTGACCACTGCTACTACTGCTTGGAGAGCTGTCGTATCGTGTTGTTGAAGTTGTCAGGCTGGTCCGCCCGTGCATTTGGTGTTGAATTGGAGCAGTTAGCCATCGTCATGTCGTGCCGCCTGCCTCCCCGAATGTTCTTGTACTGCTGTATGAACTTCGAGAGTCCGGACACGGGCTGTGGCCCTTTGTGTGAGTTTCGTTGGCTACGATTGTCAACTACACGCGACAGTGAAGGCCCTTGCACCTGCGAAGGGAATGACAGGCATCGTGGCGCACAATGCGGACATGGTTCTGGAAGCCACTTTTGATCGCACGTGCATTGACTCGCAGGGTTCGTTGATGGCTCCAGGCAGCAATTCAACTCTAAATCGCCAACTGTATGGACACAGAACAACGACAGGAAGTCGTTGCTTGCCCACGTTCCTACCCTCCACCAACCCTACAATAGTGCAGAATGGGACAGCATCAATGCATCTTGGGCAGAGGTGAGGGCGTTCACTTTCTCATGCTATAGAAGCTGTCAATAGGACGTGGCGATCCACCACAAGTTGTGCTTGAGGATTCGCTGCAACAGCATGGGAAACGTGTCACTCAATGGGCGCCCTGTTCCTGTAGAAAGTGATATTGAGGCGCTGTCCCATGCAGTGGGAAATGATGTAGACGTCTATGAAGGCAGTGTCAACATGCACATGGCTATATACGGAATACAATACGCCTGCGTCACTGGGAATGATGTGCATGCTATCAGATCGGGACACTCTGCAGCCATATATATCAGCTGTAATTCAGTGGTCATTATACCTGGGGATATACATCAAATATTCTTTGCGTGCACAGTTGTGCTTGGTCACTAATTGTACCCTGCTTTGCACCCTGCACTGTGTTGTTTGCAAAGTGGTTCTTGCCTTGGGTGGCAGTGTGTCACAATACAGTGGTGTTGTAGCGTGCACACAAACAATCCCTGGCTCTGACATTCACAAGGTTTTGGAGGCATTTCAACTTGGCAGCCTTGTGACCTGCGAAACATTCCAATGTCAATATGGAACGTCTATCGGCCCCAGTGTGGACACATACCCCAGCCAGGGTCGTTGTCTGGTCAATACACCATTTTGCATCTGCACTTTGAGACCTCATCAAACCTGGGTCATGTTCGGGGCAGGTCCTGACTTTTCATGTTGAGCATTTGCAGGCAGAAGCACATATTCTGCTGCTGCCTTCACCAAGAGGCTGTGCTACCTTTCCGTTGCCCTGGCTGCAATATTAGGATCGGCATGTGGTGATGGCACTTGCATTCAGAGTGGTAAGTTGATTTGTTTAAGGATTCCCTGGTTCCCACTTGCGGTGACACAAAAACTAGATCAACTTTCGCCTGTATGGCACACTGGTGAAAGTCCAATGTGTCAAACAGAGGAACAGCATACAGGATGGGCACACAGAGCTGATTGGCTGAATGCCACCTGGTAATGTTCTGCACAATCATGGCTTCTAGCAACTGACGTATGTGTTCCCTTCCCACCTTGACTCTATTGTGAATAGAAGGGTTTATGTGTATACGCTCCCTGCTGTTGCCCTGTCCTAATTCAATGGTAATGGATGTTCCTTGGGCCTGAGTTTGTTCCTGTTCAGGACTGTCCGGCATATAGTCCCGACCAAGTTACTGTGTGTGTTGGCAGTGCCAGGTGGTCTTGCGAGCACTGGAGGGTCAGGGCTTGGGGTGCCAGGCAGCAAGAGCTCCATCGAGGTAAGGACGACATTTGTCTTTGGATCTGGGAGTCTCCAAACTCTGCACTTAAAAGACAAGACTGGAACCAATCCATGAGCACATTGGGCCAGGTTGAGATTTGCGCAGCTTCTTGCACAGCTTTACAAGATGGATGCAATGCATCTGTGCTGGCCTGCTCATTTGCCAGCATCTGGAGCCCACTTCATTTGGTGCGAGTAAAGGCTTGCTGAAGTGGTTGGCTCTGCCATCTGGTCTCTGCTGCCTTTGAAGGTGATGCAGCCCAGTGATTGTTGTTATTTCCATTCCAGGAAGGAGAAAGTGCCCCACAGGATGGTTTCCCGTACATGGCGAGCTTCAAGTCTACAATTGGGCATATACATGTCTGCGGGGGAACTCTCATCGACCCCCTGTACGTGCTAACGGCGGCACACTGCATAGAAAAGACTGGAATGACCCCCTTTGTGCACATTGGAGCTCAGGGACTCAATGACGATGAGCACACACCTGGTGTAGTGGTGAGTGCGGTCAGGGCACTGAAGTGTTGTGCTTGCTTAGCTTGTTGGCTTGCTGGTCGTGCTTGCAATCAACATAGGTCTACATGCTGGTACTGTGTCTTGTTGCCTCTGGGACAGTGTCCTTTTTTCACAATGAACAGGAACCACACACGACTGCAACAGGATTTGCAGTGGCCCATAGCACAAGCGGGCAGGGTGTGCTGATGATCTCCTTGTACATGGGCATGACAAGGCTTGCACCAGCTTGGGGCTGAGCATGGGATGGGCTGGCCAGCTCATGGCAATGTACAAGTGAAGAAACCTACACAGTGTTGCCTGCCTTGACAGCAACTGGGGCATGGCTGCTTTATTAGCTGATTGGCCGGTGGATGTGTGCTTCTCTCCCGTGATCAGGTGATGATTGTTGAAGAAATGATACCACATCCAAAATGGAGTGGGGAAACATCTAGTGGCCCTGACATCGCTCTTGCTCGACTTTCACAATCTGTTCCAAATGCGTCATGGCCCCTCTGGCACCACAGCCTTGCAACATCAGTTTTGCAGTCAAACTTATTCACTCTGGGCTGGGGCCACCATGTTGGCCGCCACAAGGGCTTTGGACCACCGGTGGACTTCACCCTCCAGATGGCTGATGACCTAAGAATCGTGGACAGTCATTACTGCATGAATGGCTTGAAAGCTCAAGGTGACAGCATTTTGTGTGTCTCTGGTCGGGGGAGGAGGGCTTGCAAAGGTAGGGAGCTGGAACTGCTACATTGGCACAATCCGGCGTTTTTGATACAATAGTTGCTGAGGATGCCATCTTCTTTGCTCTATGTGGGAAACATGATGGATAGCATTCGCCGACATTGACAAATAGATGCCTCTCTGAGGATCTAGCGATGACAGGCACATTCTGTCTTGCCAGAAGAGAAGTTGCCTCTCTCAGTCGTTGCCAGGATGGCATACAAACATGTTTTCCTTGTCATCACTTGGGCGTTGACAAGCTGACGGGAGGTTGCCACCACTGGGTGTGCTGACAACTGTTGACCTCGTATCTTATGGGCTCCAAGGCAAGGAAACGATAGAAGAATCCTGACCTATAATTTGTTGTCTGGGTTTGCAGTTGAGTTGTTGACCTAGCCAAGTAACACCATTCCTGTGGTATGTCAGGAGACTCAGGAGGACCTCTGCTGTTGTTTGACGGATGGCCTTCTGCTATGGAGGAAACCGCCCTGCATGGTGTCCTTATGGGGGTGACATCCAGGGCTGACAACTGCTTTCAGGATGGCCAGAACGACTCTGCAGTGCTGTATACTCGTGTGGCCAGCTTCCTCCAATGGATTCAGGAAGCAATGGCATCAACATCACTCGCTGACAAGGTGAGATTGACACGAGTGTGTGAATGATTGGGAGATAAGGAAGAATGCATTGTGGGCACTTAAGGACAGATTAACACAAGTTTGGGGCATCTTCATTTCATAGTCTTGGAACAGAGCTGTTCGCACTTCGAAATAGGCAGTTTTTTATCAGTCCACAGCTGTTTACATGAATGCAGTGCATGATCCTGTGACTGAACAGGAGGTTTGCACAGCACTCTGGCTGTGCAAGCTATGGCTCTTCCACAATTGCGGAGCCAATTTGGCAGGTGTGAAGGTGGGATGCCTGAAATGGATGTCATCGTTCCTGCTCATGTGTCCATCCATGTGTGCTGAAATGGCTGGCAGGTAGCCACTGCGATTGAAGGACTGGCTGTTTGCAAACAGGAGGATCGCCTTGAGGGAAGTGTTGTCAGCAAAACATGGATCACAGAAGAGGACCGCAGCCTGCAAACTGAGTTGATTTTGTGAGTGTCCACGAACCTAACTTGTTCTGATCCTTTGCAGTGGATGCAAGGCCCAACTTGTTGCAGTATCAATGTCCCTGCCATTGTGTACTTTGAACTGTCTTACTGTTGTCATCTGTGTTGGTGATCCTGGCCAGTCCCTAGCTTGATAAAACCACAGTGGCAAGCGCAATCTGCAGATTGAGTTTGGAATTTCCCTCTGTCTTGCATGCCACACAAGGAAACATGCGGTGGATCATATATTTGCCAGGCCATACTGAATAACCTGTTCAAGTTGTGTTTCCAGCTATGGGCAAAGGCCATATTTGGTAGCCGTTGGTTGTGCAGCAATACTTCCACATTACATGCACTGATTTTGCTTCATTTTGGGGAAATTGGCAGGATTGACACACAGCAGCCCAACAGCATGATCCCATTGAGTGATGAAGAATCAAAGGCCAGTGCAACAGAGGATGTACCGCATGCGCCAACATTGAGAGAAATTCTTGATCAACTGAAGTTGTGGATGGCAGCGAACATGGGTGCTGATGCAATCAAGGACATACTGGTGAGTGTGGTGTCACATGAATTGATAGGTTAGGAAGGTTGGCACTGCACCCTTCCGCTGGACGCCACCAGATGCCAGCTTTTTCCTTTAGGCGATCAGGGTTTTGGCCCCAGATCCACCAATACATGTCCACAACATGTTCGTAGCTTGGTTTGACTGCACAGCTTTTGATTGTTGCATTGATCTGAGGACCTGAGTAGGTGCTGGTGCACATTGCAGTTGGCGAATGGGTCACTGGTTCCCAGAGAGCATGCTGCTGCTTCTTTGTGGTGAGAGGCACAAATGGGATGCCTCCTTTTGCCTTCTTCTTGGTGTTCTGCTACGATCTTCATTTGGTTTCCCCTTGTTGGGGTGACACACCCAGCTGTTGTTGCCACAACTGTTCCATTTCCAATCGTACATCGTGTGCCAATGGTTGGTGATGTTGTTTGCACTATTCAGCAACATTGGATGTTTGTCTCTTCAGGTATCCACAGGCATTACCTTGCTGGTGTTGCTGGTCGGAGCATTGGCCACGATCTTTTGGGGTTATCCATACCTGAGACACAGGCTGGGCTCAGAAAGGGCGGTGAGCACACATGAGCAGTTTTTCAATTCGTTTCTCCCTCCTCCCTCTCCCAGTGCTCACTGTCAGCAGTAAATAACCCAATAGAGACAGTTGACAGGCCTAGAGACAGTTGACAGGCCTAGATTGCAAGTACCACTCTTTTTTGGTGTGGCCTTGCTTTGGCATGGTGCCTTGCTATGTCCACTTGAAGAGATTGCTTGTCTCTTTCTTGACCTTTTCTCTCTTGTTGATTTCTTTTTCTCTTCTGTTGTTGGCGTGAATGGTGGCAAGTGCACTTCTGGGACCATTTTGTTTGCAAAACTACACAACTGATCACCTGCAAGACCAGTGTACACTCAGTGAAGTTTGAACGTGCAGACTTGCACCTTGTGCAGTGAGACACGATTTGAGGTTGCAGTCTGTATTCCAATATCATCGGGCATGGGCTGATCCAAAAATATGCATACATTGTGTTGTTGGATGTCAGCCAACCATCCGGGGCATATGTTTCTACTGTGATTCCTGTGGCTCACAGTTTATAACATCACCTGCCAGATCCAAGCCTTTGCACCTGCACACTATGTCAAATGCTGCAGCAACATAACTTGCTTGCTCATTGTCCGTGGACCCAGTACGCATAACATAAACATGTCATTGCAGTGACCTTATTGTGGCCATGCCATTAGGCAAGGAGATCTGCACTTCACACTGCTGTTATGGAACCTGAGGGTGACGGTGAGCATTCCATCGAGCATTTGATGCGAGTGGGTGCCCATGTGGATGTCAATGAGCGCGATCAGGCAAGTGGAAATGAATATTGGTGCGCGATTCTTTTTGCTAGTATATCTTCAAATGCTATAGTTGTGTTGTAGTGGGATTCTTTGCGCACAAATGGGGATGCCAGTGGTGTCGTTTCATTGCTTGATTTCTGACAAGTTGTTGGGTCCCAACTGGCACTGATCTGCAGGTCAACCATTAAAAATAGGGCTGAGAAGCATTTTCGCTGCAGTTCATATAGTTATTGTGAACGCGCACATCTGGGGGAAATAGTACCCATCTGTGCCTTACAGATGTGAACACAGTGCTGTGCAATGCGATGACATACCCAATCAAGGTGGATTCTACATCCAGCTGAGGGCCACAATGTGCATTTGAGCATCATCAGTACCTTGCTTCAAATACTGCGCGCTCCGCACCACTGTTGCATCTGGGCAAAGAGAGCAACAGCAGCCCCTGCACAACATCAGTGATCCATGGACCGCTCCACAGTCCAGTGTATTCTGCGTTGCAAACAGCTGGGTGCACAGCACAGCTCCTTACACCCTGTTTTGGAAATGCAACAGTTGTACGCTTGTTCTCAGCAAAACAAGTGAACAGTGTGACCTGCGTGGACGATGAGGAACTCCGCTGCAGATTTCAAGCTCAAGCCACCATTCTGAATTTTTGTTGCTTCACTTGTAGTGCAGGCTGGCAGGACACCACTACACTATGCCAAAAGCAAGACCGTTGCTCGAAGTTTGTTGGACCATGATGCCCAAGTAGATGCTGCCGATAATGTGAGGGCATTTACTGCTGCAGTTTCTTCACATTGTCAGCCACAGTGGCACACAGGCTCTTGGTTCAGATTTCCCACTGTTCCTGCAGAAGCAGTTTCTATTATGATTGATAGAATCTATCATCTGGAGCATCAGATGCTTTCCTTGGCACTGACTGTGCACTAAGGGCATGTAGGCTTGACAATCCGTGGCAGTCACATTTTTTAATTGCTGCTGGACAACAGTTCTTACTTGATGCCTTCCACACGTTGAAGATGACAGGAAGGCCACTTTTGCACATCGAAATTGAATACAATTGTTGATCTTCAAGATTGAATGCCTGTTGGAATTCTATTGTTGAAAACTGCACCATACATGGTTGCGTAAGATAGCCAAAATGTACATGAAAATGCCCTGGACTTGCATTTGTGGCACTGGAAGTTCAGTATCATTTCCACTGGCATGGAAGCACTTTCAAGCGTGCAGTTGTGTAGTCAGCTGTGTATTGTTTTCTTGGGCGTGTTAAATGTTATATTCTGTGTAGCGGGTATAATTGTTCATTGTAAGCAAGACCGCCTTCCTTTTCAAGTGTGGTGAGATCAGCACTTTTGGTTCAGAATTTGGGCCAATGCTGGGCTTCAGGATTGCCATGGCTACCTAGCGACAGTGATATTGCTCCAGCAAGTGCCAACTATTGCGGTTTGCTAAGTTGCATTTGCTGTGTTGTGTGTGCAGCAAAATTTGACTCCACTGCATCGGGCGTGCTCTCGAACACGTGGAGGCACAGACTTGGTGACAACACTGCTGGAGGCGGGAGCTGATGTAAATGCTAAGAGCAATGTGGGTGAAGTTAAGTTAGCCAAGGAACTTATGAGGAAATATTCTTGCCTGGCTTTTTCATCCTTTCAAATAGCATTTACATTGTGTGTGCTTAGCGTTCACACTGTAATTTCTCACGTGTACAAGTGCAGCTGTTAGCATTGTCTTCATATCTCTGTATATCAACAACATTGCCCATATTGTAGACATGTTTTGCACTCACCCCACGCCTACCCCGTCCCACCCTCAAATCCGCACATGCACAAGTGGTAAAAAAATTGCGTTTATGCTGAAGGTTTGGTGCAGTATAACAAGGTTGTATATTCATGCGTATTTTGCTGCCACCAAGGGGTTGGGTGGGTGTTCTTATCACCAGGCATTGAAGGTCCCTGCAGGCAGTTGGGATTGTGATTTCTATCTGTTGATCTGAGCTTGGTAGAGACAACAGGGCCGCTTTGGCTCTTCGCATTGCTGTAATGGACACAGCCATGCAGCGCCATGGGGTGTGTGTAGCTGACTGGGAAGGTTGTGCACAGTGGGACTACACACCACTTCACATGGCATGCTTCCATGGCAATGTCAAAGTTGTGAAGATCCTGCTGGACTGGAAGGCGGGCGTTCTTCATAGGAACCATGTGAGAACGCAATTGCAGCTGGGATGCATGCAAATATTCACAGGTGTCCTGTGCTTATATTTTGTAATAGTTGCATTTTGCATCATTGATACTAGTATGCTCATACACGTGCATCTTCAAATGAGTACTATTGTAACAAACTTGCATTGAGGTACAGTGAGGTTTGGGAGCAGTGAAGTCTCCATCGTGCATTGGCACATGCACAAGCATCCAGTGTACAACAGTGCTCAAATGTGTTTAGTAATTGGTGTGGACAGGATCAGTGTACTCAAAGCACATGTATCAATTGCTGACATCACAGGTCGACTCAAAGCACAGATACCACATTTGTGTGGTTAGTCATGAAGCCCTGGTCTTTTGGTTGTAGGTTGGATACTCTGCCCTGCACGAGGCGGCATTCAATGGAGACTTGCGTGTGGCAGAGTTGCTTCTTGAGCATGGTGCCGATGCCAGCATGGATCAAGTTGCTCAGGTACTGTAGACGAATCTATTCTGTGCTGGAAGCCTTTCGCTATCATCCTTTGTGTGCTTGTTTATGGCATGGCATAGTGTGGTACGTTTCTGCACAGTACTGTGCAGCATAGTACGGTACAGTACAGTACAGTATAGTACAGTGCAGCACGGTACAGGACAGCACAGTACAGTATATGTTGCATACCGTAGTGGTGGGTGCAGTGCAGAACATGAGCAGAGCTAATTATATGTGCCGACTGTGTGCCATACATGGTTGCAATACAATGTGGCGTACACTCCGTTGCTTATATAATTCTTGCAGACAATGCCTTATCCTAGACTGCTAGGTTGTCCAACCGACTGATAACATGAGAATTGACAATACCAATATGTGACGTGTGTACAGTGCACTAAGTTTGTGGTTGAGGCATCCATAACTGCGGATTCAGTGGCTGTGTATATCAACAGCTGCATCATCTCTGCTGTTCAGCTAACCAGATGGTTAATGAACAGCATGGACATGTTGTTATCCAAAAGCAAGGGAGAGCATCGCAGTCTCAGCTGCTGGAAATGCTGATGCCACCTGCTTTGGCGAACAGCTGACTTCTGTCTGCCAAAGGAGTGTTGTTAGAGCTGTACAGCACCAAGTTGTATGGCATGCCACACAAAGATGCAAATGCATGCAACGTATATTTGGTGGAGTGTTCATTCCAGGAAGGACTGGATGTGCATGTATGTGTCGTTTCGAGATGATGATGTAATGGCAAAAGCTGACGCCTATGGGAGTGATTGAAAGTAGTGCATTTGCAATTTTTCACAGCCAGATTGATCACTTTGATTCAAAATGTTGGGATGGAATGCACGCCGGGGTGCACTGCAACTTCCACACCACTTAACCTGTCTCTTGGTGTCAGTAACGTTTACCCGTGTCACATTGACCGTGAACTGTATTGCGAAAGCATGCCCATAATCGCCTACCCCACACCAGGTATGGTGGCACTGGCAGGGGTGTGTGAGCACGAAATCGCGTTCATTGGATCTCAGATGGAAATAGCAGTTCTCATCTCTTGCTGAGTTGTTAAAGGTTTTTGGCGCTGATGTCACTGAGGCGTTCTTATCTGTCTTGTCAGGGTACCATGCACTTACCTGGAGGCACTCCAATTGACGTCGCGTGGGCAAGGGGAAACAAAGAAATGGCAGAAACATTGTGAGTTTGTTCAGTGCCCTGAGGAGGTGAACTTTCTTGGCATTCACTTAACATTGGGAACACAGCCGCTGTGAGTTGACCACATGTGGTTGAGGAGATATTGATGTGCTTGAGGAGCACCTAAAGAGCAATCTATATGTTGTCGTGCTTTTCAGAGATATAAATAGTACACATACATGCTTTGAAGCACCAACAATTGAAAGAACATATGCACCAACGATAGCTTTGCCATGAGTCCTATCACCTCCGTTCATTATGTTTCCCAATTTGTGGATATGCCCCCAACTGTGGAGTCCACACCGACTGAAGTTTGGGAGGGACCCAATGAGTGTCCCTGTGCGCATGCAGCATACTGTGGGAATTTGCCACGTAATCCAGAATAGGCGATTATTCAGTTTCCAATGCAGAGACTTTCAGGCTACATGCAGCCAGCGCACAACATGGAAAGCTGTTGTGCATCCTGGACATGCTCGTCAGGCATACGGCCTGGCTTTCCCGATATTCTGTATGTGTGTGTTCTGGACGTGGCAAAATCTTCAGTGTGTACAATCCGGATCTTTCTCGATATCCAGGATAGGGACATTGCCATGGCTGAAGCTGTATCCGGGATGTGGGATGTCACCCCACTGCATTCTTGTTTTTCCCTTCTTCCTGGTGGAAATTTTCATGGCGAGCGACGAAGAGCGCAACGCCCGCAGGTCTGTTCTTCGCTTCTGCTGTGAACAGCAACGCCACAAGGACTACAAGATAAAGCATTACAAACAATTGCATGCAAGTTGAACGCAGAATGAAATCGTGCGAAGCTGCGAAGTTTTGCCCAGGGTTCCTGCTTGAGGACTGTGCCAAGGGGCCCAACAGTCGATGTCCAAGATTTCATGATTTGGCACCATCTTAGCACTTGGTACAGTGCGGATGCAGTGTTTTCACCGACGTCACATGGTTGCCCAGGTGTCGAAGTTGCAAAGTATTGACAAATTTATTGACACTTGGGAATCATCCCAGCAACTATCGTTGTCGCATGGCAACGACAGCTGCATTTGAGTTTGGTGATCAGAGCGTTCTGTGTTGCATGCAGGGCAAGGCGCCGATGAGAGCTGGGGGACTGAGCAGCAACTTGGGATATGAGAACATTGTTCTCGAGGCCTCAAAGATGGCAGCAGCGACTGTCGCAATCCAGGGACGCACGCGTGACGGAGCATTTCATCTGAAACAAATATCGTTCTGTTGTGGACTCCGTGTGCGGAGTGACGTGCTTTCGGGATCGCCTAGATGGGAATAGGATGGCGGGAGTGTTGAATGTTCATGGTACTGAATAACTTGGCATGGGGATTTGTTGTGGGAGTCATTTTCCATGAGTGTCAGCAGTGTGTACCAATCTGCAGCGTAGCACTGGAGAGGCTCGCATGCGCCCAGAGACTCAGCAAACACGGACCAACGAATCGACACAATTCATGTCTCCTTTGCAGGGAAGTGGCATGTGAACACTTCTGCCTCGCTGCTAATGTATTGAATTCATGCACTGATTTCCTTTGTTGAGGATGATGGGTGCCCATCGCGGGTGAGAATTCCAACAGCGTGGATGGAGGCCCAGCAGGCGACCACAATGGGCTCTGTCCTCAGCAGTTCCAACCCTCACCACAGGCGCCGCGGGTTGTACATTCAATGCACATGGAATCGAAATGGAGGCCCGAGAAACAAAGAGATACCGAAACAAAGCATTGCCGGTTGGAATCAATAATATTCACGGAAGTTGACCAGGCGAGGGAGGCCCAACTGTCGCTGTGGGGCAGCTGAAGCGCAGGGAATATGCTACATTCCTGGCTGGATACCACAGCCTGCCCACGGTCCTTAAGTGATGCGAACCGTCCCCGAGTACAGTGGCGGCCCCGCGGGGATATCCCCCGCGCCGAATATCTTCAAACTGACGCTGGCGGCATCAGGCATAATTCCTGCATCGGCCGGCTGGTCAACGCAAATCGGCCAGCATCCGGCCTCGTCCTCGATCAGAGTCTGCCGTGCTCGGACGGCGAGGAGGGCGGGCCCAAATCCAATTCTGCCACGGACGCGGGGAGGTCTCCCAAAGTCAGTTGTGACTTGGCGGCGAGGAGGTACCTTCCGCTCGAATTTGGCGGACGGCCTTGCTTCAGGGTCGCGCTGCGACTGACTAGTAGTTGCGGGGCGGTCTCCACCCATCTTGTCTTGGAAGCGTGTCGGCTGGATAAGTGGTTCAACAAGCGAACGCGACGTGCAGGCTGGGCGCTGTAGACGTCATCAGTCGAGGGCTGCACGCAGTGCCCTCCAAGTCGTCGCGCAACTTGGCCGCGTGACTTCCAGGTTGTTGGGACACGCACTTGGCGTCGGGAAGCTGACCGACGTCTGTAGGCCATGTTTACAGTCCGGCGGCTAGATCCACCGGGTCTTGCAGCGCCACCTTTTGCGTCACATTTCGCGAAGCGCGCTTTCAACAATGTTGCAAGGCCAGGGCAGCGCCCCCCTGCGATCCTGGATGGAAGCATGTTGGCAGCGGCAGAGCGAAGATGACCCCAAAACGACGCGAACGAAATTTGCTCGAGTTGGAGGATGATCGGGTGGGGTCTGTGCCAAACGTCGAACGTTGCTGGCCTTCTTTTCACGATTGGCTGTGCTGTTGTGCTGGGCTTGGTGTCTGTCACGATCTGTACACTGCTTGCTGACAGCAGAATATGTTCGAAATTCGTGAATAGGGGGGGCGCCATACGTCGCAGCCTGGGTGACGGGTTGTGATGCGGCGGAACCCGAGAAAACAAGGATCAGCCCAACAAGGCAAGTGTGCCATATGTGTTTGGAGGTGCAATATTGATAAGCTGCGATTCATTCGAGACTTTAGAATCAATTGCAGTTGATCGCAGCTTGGCAAGAGTCGTACAATTTCAGCACCTTGTTGTGTGACCCTGTGAAGAGGCCAAAGTTGCAGCGCTGTTGCGAGAGGTACTGACCAATGTTCTTCCTAAGCAGGCTGCACAGCCTGCTGTGTCCTAAACCCACTTCGCTGCCCCAGGTCCACGGATCAGCAAGGTCCAGGAATATGCCCCCTTGAGAGGGGGTGGGGGTGGGGGGGGGGGCGCCTTGTTTACTCTGAACAATTCCCAGCGCTGCCTCAGTTGCCTACGCAGTTCCTGGTACCCTGCATCTGCAGACAAGCAGAAATAGGAGTGCGCAGTGCATGTCACCTGCACAACTGACCACAGGCCAAATGGCTGCAGGTCCAGCACGCTGCAAATGGTTTGGTTGGCGGGCCCGCTGCTTCGCCTTCGCTGCCTTTCTATGCTTGTGCATGGTTGCAAGCCCCTCAATCGAATGGTGCCCTGAGAAAGGCGAGTTCGTGCATGTTTCTAATCCAGCTCTGGGATGTGCGCTGTGTGTGTGATTGTGTATGCAATATGTTAATATCCCGAACCACAGCCCAGACAATGGAGCATCCCCTCCTAAGCAAGGATACAGCTGGCCCTGTTCCGCTTTGCAGCGCTGTTGGTGCTACCAAGCAGGCCTCCTCTGCGCCTCCAGCTGCAGCTATGTCTATTCTCTTTGGAGGTTCAGTGTTTGGTGGCTGCAGAGTGTAGAACACAGCACTGTCAAGTGCGACGGTGGCTTGCATGGGTTTCAGGCAAGGGGGGAGAAAATGCAGGTGCAGTGCCTGTCCTGCCCATTGACAGCCCTTTGTATGTTTTTCATGCACATTTGCAGTGCCATTGCCCTGTGGATTGATTCCTTGCACATCTGATTGCAGGCTGTCCAGGGCACAGCGATTGCGGCTCAACACCGGGGGTCCATGCCTTTCAATATCTCATGGGGGTGAGCTCACTGCCCTTTTTCCAACTCTCACGTGTGGGTGCTGTGCTATAAAGACAACACAGTGATAGAAGTAAATTTGTACTGGGGATGTTATGCCAACCTGCACTCAAGCATGTCGGCTATGCAGTGCCTTGTACTGTGCTAGCTGCCCATGGGCAGATGGTGTTGCTGTTAGACATTTTGCAATGAAGAGTCAAGTGCATTAAAATCTAAGTCCAAGATTCTGGGGATGGTTCGTTTGCAGCAGCAGCCTGTGGTGGGCTTTGAGAATGATTAGATGAAATAATTTGTTGCTAATATTCAATAACTAGTGCTATTAGTAACCTGATAGAACAGAGAATTTGAGATCTCTCGCAGTATGCAGTGTGCCTTTTGTTTCTGTCCTGACGTTCATGGCTTGAGGGCTGGAAATGGTATGCAGGGTAACCCTGCTCCTCCCAAACGCTTCCCCTATATTGCAAGACTGCAAGACAGATCAGGGGTCAGCCAGGTGTGCGGGGGCACACTCATTCATCCGCAGTTCATTTTGACTGCGGCACACTGTGTCAATATCACAGGATACAATCCATTTGCATACATAGAGGGTGCTGAAAAGTGGGTAAGTGGAGAGGCATGGCCGTTGGAATACTGAGCATTGTTGTATTGTCAATCTGTCAGCAGACATTCTCCAAAACATGGTCTGGCAGTGGCCTTGCACCTTTGAAGCATGCCAGCTGCAGCATTGTTACTCATGGGGCTGCACATGGGTATCCTCAGAAGACGATAGCCAGCAAATGTCAGCGAGAGAAGCAATGAACAAATCTGCCATGATAATGAGTATTGGCAAGGCAATGCAGCATGGGTGTTGACTGCTTACAAGTGGTGTCTTGTCATGCCTATCCCCATTCCTGGTTGCTGCCCTGCAGACTGTTCTGAAAATCGTCTTCCTCGATGGCTCAGTGCACAATATCATTATGTCTCATCTATGCACCTTTTTTTGGCAAGTATGCAACTGGGACCATCAGGATTAATTATCTGTATTATTGGAATGGAAACGATTGCATTCATTCACATTGCTGCTTTTGTTGAAGACTGTCTTGGGTTAAAGTGCTGACGTTGGGGCCACCCATCCATGTCCAAAATGTACAAATGCAGCACCTGCACTGTGAGCTTCGCACAATCTACGGTAATTTGTGGTACTGCAGTTGCATTCTGTTGCTTTATCACACATTTATGAACTGCCCACAGCAGCAGCACCTGCATTCTTCAGATGGCGGAACCACTGGACACTCAACAATGCTTTTCCTATGCTCTGCCCATGAACTCTTAGCAGTCAGCACACCGTAAAACCCAAACTCAAAGTACAAGAGAGCCTGCAGTTTCAGCAGAGTCTTTGCAGTGCCAACGTAAAGTTCATTTTGCTCAACCTGATGCATGCACGATTCTGAGGCAGATATATGTAGCAAGTCCATCCTGGCCTCAACTTGTTGATGCTGTTGCTGTAGGAGAGTGCATCTTGGCGCAGGATCCCAGAGCAAGTGCTTGTGCCCTTTCTGTGGCACTGGGTGTAACTCTTCAAGCATGTTGTCACCAAGGCTGCCAACTGGAGCACTATCCTTAACGCAGTGTCTTTGTAGTACTTGGATATGTCTTGCAAAATTGCTGTGTCGGATTGCAAAGGAATGGAGTGCAACATGTTGACCATCCCATGACACCACATGCATCAAAAGATGCCCAGTTTCTCTGGATAAACTTTAAGACTAGCTGGTACAATGCGATTGCTTGTTGTTTAATGTGTGCAGGTTCGGGTGAAAGAAATGATCCTGCACCCGAAGTGGACTGGAAATATAGGCGACGGCCATGACATAGCCCTGGCAAAGCTGCGAGAAAATGTGGGGAATGCTGTGCAGGCCATGCTGCCTGACGCAAAGGAATCTTTTCCAGCCAATTGCAGGGTGAACATCCTTGGCTGGGAAGATGTGGATAGCAGCTCTGCATCGTCCCTTGGTGGCAGTGTACTGCAATTCGTCAAAGAACGAGTCATCGTGCAAAACAGATTCTGCCCGACAAATATGCACTTGCAGGGGAACATGATATGTGTGCTCACTTATGATCAGCCACCTTGCCCAGGTGAGAACAGCTGAAGATTTAGAAATGGAGGTGGATAGAACTGAGTGCATCCTTGCATATCATGCGTTCCAGCACAGTGGCCAATGCCACTGGTCTGATCCGAAATTATTGTTAGACAGCTTCAGAATATCTGTGATATTGGAACATTGTG